GAATATAAGCATAAAAAATACTGCATGTGGTTTTCATGAGTTTTGGGGGGGATTTTGTCATTTGTTTTGTCTTCTTCTAAAATAAAAAAAAAGGCCCAAGATGTTGCTTCAGTTATTCTAAGAAAGGCTGGGGATTTTGCAGAGCTGGTAGCAGCCTGCCAGAAGCCTGCCCATTTGTCCCTGAGGAAGTAAAGACAAGGTTGATAGAACAGGTATTGGCACCAGAGTATGCCAGGGGCTGCCTAGGGAGAGAAAGGATGCATTGAGTCTTGCCATTCCTCTTCGTGATTCCTGAGAAGTCTGTGCAAACTGCAGCAACCTTTATCACTGTGCAGGTCACAAGAAAGGGAAACTATGGAGGGAAATTAAGACAGGAGAGCAGAGAAAGAACAGCAGCTTGTGTTCAAATTCTTGGAAAGGGGGAAATCACAGCAGAACACTGTCAGAAATAAGTAAAGCCAGTTTCTACTGTTATTACTGAATTAACTGCTAGGTTAAGGCCTTGTCTAAACACAACAGTTGTGCCAGTTTAATTCAAATCAATTAAAAAACTCATTAAAGTTACACAGGTGCAAAGCTCTTTGCAGACAATCTTGTGCCAGTTTATAACTAGCTAAAGTGATTTGCATGTATTCACAAAAGGTCGCACCTGCTTCAATAAATTGATTTTTAAAATTATTTTAATTTCATGACATTTTATCTAATGTAGAGACTAATATATAGCTATTTTTAAATGCATTAAAGTTCAGGTTCTCAAGGATAATTATTATGCGGTGATATTGTATTTTCTTTCATTTAAACCCTACCATAGATTTTTAAACAACGACTGTCCAGGGATTTTAGAGATGTGCTCAGTGGAATCAGGCATCTTCCAGCACGCTGAGTGATGCTCTGCTCTACATTTCAGGAAGTACTACTTCATTAGCTTATAAAGCCATCTTCAAAATCTTAGCACTGAACTTACTAACTTGCTCATCTACAGGACCAAAAAGTTGGAAGGACTGTTTAAGGTTTGCTTATTACCCTAAACCTGCTATCTATGGCTTTTTAAACTAAGCTGCCTACTACTGTTAATGAGCACTGCAGAACAGTTGCCAATAAAGTTTGGCAAAAAGCATGAATTGTTCCCTCCAACCACGACTTTGTATTTCTGATTCATAATTTATTACATAGATGTATCTGGTTTCTTCTGTCTTAATTTTGTCTGACATCCTTACAACAGCAGGATGCATGTCAGTGACACATGGTGGCCGTGTTGAGGGATGAAGAGCCCTCATATGATACTTTCCTGTACACAGATCTACAACTTTCAAGATGCTTCAGTTTGTCCAGTTGTAACACAACCTCCACACTTGGCATTACCCTCCTAACGGTTCCATTATTGAGGAAGCTTGAAAAATAAATAAGAATCCGCCCCCTCCCCCCCCCCCCTTTAGGCATTTGGATATTATTTTACATACTCAGAATAGGAAACTGATTTTCTATATGCAAAATGGTTCATAATCAATATGCAAAGTCAATACCTCAACCATTAATTTGGACACTTTCATGGTTATTTTGTTTTCAAAGAAAATACCACCAGACACAGTGGAACAAGTTTAAACCAAATCACCTTAAAACAAAGAAAAAAGAAGAACACAAGCATAAAGGAGGGAAAAAAAAAAAAAAAAAAAAAAAAAAAAAGAATAATAGAATGGCTTAGGTTGGAATGGACCTTAAAGCCCACCCAGTTCCAATCCCCTGCCATGGGCAGGGCTGCCACCCATCAGCTCAGGCTGCCCAGACCCCATCCAAACTGACCTTGAGTGCTCCAGGGATGGGGCACCACAGCTTCTCTGGGCAGCCTGTTTCCTCTGAGTAAAGAATTTCTTCCTGATCTCTAATCTAAACTTGTCCTCTTTTAATCTAAAGACATTCTCTCTTGTCCTTCACTATTACACTGTAAAAAGTTGATCCCCCTCCTGCTTATAAGCTCCCTTCAAATACTGAAAGGCTGCAACGAGGTCTCCCCACAGCCTTCTCTTCTCCAGGCTGAACAGCCCCATCTCCCTCAGACTTTTTTTATAGGAGGGATCCTCCAGCCCTCTGGTCATCTTTTCAGACTTCCTCTGGACCTGCTCCAATAGCTCCATCATGTTACAGGGCAATGGGGAAGGACAAATTTCAAGCAGGGGTGGAATGCAGTTGCTCAGTAGACATGCTTTGCATTTCCTCCAAAAAAGTGTTTTCCATTTTAGTCATGGCAGCATAGCGTCAAAACCATCCAGCTGTATGACTAGGAATTTTCATTTGAGTGCAACTGTTTAATCAGACGTACTATAAGACTACTCAATCTTATTTCACACAAAATTTTGACAATGTATTTATAGAAACATTAATAAAAGCTTGTACTAGAACTGTGCTTTTGCTACCACTAAATTTTGTTATCCAGGCTCTCATGTACAGACTTTTGAACAGTTTGAAAATGAATAGGCAACAATATCGTTTGTTACCAAGGACAAAGAAACACTTTACCATTAGTCAGCATTCAAATAAATCAAGGTCTGTCTGAGCTTGTCTATGCTCAAAAAAATTGTCAGTATAGTCAGAATGATATAAGCTCCCTGCTGGAAGTTAAAAGTTATAGCAATGAAATTTAAAGTGAATGCCATGTAACTTCATCCATACCATGTTCCACAATGATTTTTAAATAAAGCAGATTCTTAATCAAGGAAAGTTAACACTGATGATAAATTTTGCATTAAAAATTCTGGTATGCAATTTTTTTTCAGTGCATCATCAATCAATTTTGCCTTCTTAGTACCCAGACTCGTGGGTGCAGGGGAAGAAAAGACAAAGGTATTCTACATACAGCACCACGTAGAGCTGCTCCCCTACTGCATCATTAACCTTGAATTGCTGTTACCGAAGACAGGATCCAACTGTGAGAATGGAAACACCACCAGTCATTTCAGAACAGCAGACCAGGGCTGAGCCTGTCATACAATCAGTCAATGCATTTGAGAAAACAACGGATAGCTGCAAATTTCTAGCCACTTTTGCTCCTCATTCATGACCCAATTAAGGAAAAAAAAAAAAATCTTTCACTCAAAATGCCAATTGGGCAGCTCATTAAAAACCCTCACAGACGACACTAGGAAAGGGGCAAATGTCTAACTTAATTTCTCTTGAATGTATTATTGACCTATTTTAACTAGAGTAGAAAAGAACAATGTACTAAGAGAAAAATACAACACACACAGCTTTTTAAGAGCCAGATTCAGCAAAATTGAACCTCATAATTTTATGGAAGTTTTCTTAAACCCCATGTGAGGACTGCCCCAAAAGTAATGCCTCCTCTTTTATGATGTTGGCTCACAACATCAAGAGGCAGATGTTGGTGGGATGGCAGTAGAGCTTGAACATTCCCACCAATATTCCATTCCATGTTGTTGCTGTGTGACAGATGGCAGCAGAGGGGCAGTCTGACAGAACGGCATCTGACACGGAAGTCAGGAGTGAGAAGGAGCAACATTACAAGGTCCAAGCAGCGGATGTGGGCACAGTGAGGCAGTGGGTGTTGTGTTTTAGTAGTGCTGACAGTGTGTGAGTGGTGCAGATTTACACAAGTGTAATATTTAGGCTCCTTGTTCATTGCTGGTGAAAGTGCGCAGCTAATGGCGCTGGCTGTTGAAAAATTAACATTTTGGAGCTGAGAATTTCCTCTATCACATAGTGTTACTGAGTCCTTTGTATCTGCTGCAGCTCCCGTGGTGATAAACAAGAGGCTTTACTTTTGGAGCAACCTACATCTCGCAACAGGCACACAACGTGCCTCACAGCAGCCCTGCCTTCAAACCAGGTGAGTAAGTCACAGCTGGGCACAAATAAGGGCTGAGGGAAGTGTACCAGAACAGGGGTTTCAATCCGCAGCCCGGGGCCAGCTTTGCCTGCAGCTCCCTCTCCTACCTGCCCGCCCTCGGGGCCCGGTCCGGCGGTAATTAACGGCTGAAACAAATGGCTCAGAGGAACGCGAGCCCCGAGGAGGAGCATCAAAGTGGAAGCTCGTACCTCGAAAGCCAAGCAGAAGCATTCAGGGACGGCCGGGCAGCCCTTAGCGGTAGCCTAGGGCACCCTCAGAGGAGGGCGACAAGCCCCAAGGGCTCGCTGGGGAGAGCCGCACCACGCAGCGAGTAACGGCGATGGTGCCCCTAGCACCCCACAGGGGCCGTCATCAGCCGCACAAGCAGCAGCAGCTCCAGCGCCTCTGGCGCCACAGGCACGCCGCGAACTGCGGCTCCCAGTAGCCCCCGCGAGGCCGCACGAGACGCCAGGAGCCGCACCAGCCCACGCGCGCTGCAGCGCCGCCCCCGGCTCCGCTCCTCTCCCGCTGTGACCCCCGCCGCGCCGCTCCCATTGGCTCACAGTGCCGCCACTCAGCGCCCTCCCTTTCCTGACCCGCCAATGCCCGGCGATGAAAGTCGTTTCTCCTCCGCGCGCGCGCTGCCACGCCTTCCCCTTCGTCACTCCGACTGGCCGCCGGGCCTCACCCCGCCCCTTTTAAATACCTGTCGCTTCGTGACAGGCCGTCACCGAGTTCCGGTTAGCAGGGCGACTGTGGCGATTGGCCAGTCCCTCCCCCCGGTCCCCTCCTTCTCCCGCAGCCCCGCCCCTGCCCCCGTAGCTCCTCCCGCGCCGGAGGGCGGCAATGTCAAACCGCCCGCGAGCCGCCGGACGCCAGCCCGCGCGCGCCCGCCCCCTGCGCTCACGCGCACGCGCGGCCCCTTAGCACCGCTCCGGCGGCGGCCGCGCGCCCTCCGCCCCTCCCCGCTTCGTCGTCACCGCCCGCCCCTGAGCTGCCGAGGGCGGCGGCGGGAGGCAGAGCTCGGCGAGGCGAGGCGGCGGTGGCGGCGGGCGGCCCGCGAGGAGCGCGGCGGCAGCGGGCTGGCTCTGCCCCTTCCCTCCCTCCCCCCGCCCTTCCCTTCCCCCGCCCCTCCCTCCTCCCCGCGCGCGCCGGGCGGAGCGGCTGCGAGGGAGCCCCGGGCGCAACATGGCGGAGCACTCGGCCCCCGACAGCAAGCACAAGCCCGGCGCCGCCGCCAACTCCGTGGCGCCGCTCAACAGCCGCGGCGGGCCGGGGGGGCGGCCTGTCGGGGGGCCTGTCGCAGCCGGCGGGCTGGCAGTCACTGCTCTCCTTCACCATCCTCTTCCTGGCCTGGCTGGCCGGCTTCAGCTCGCGCCTCTTCGCCGTCATCCGCTTCGAGAGCATCATCCACGAGTTCGACCCCTGGTGAGCGCCCACGGGGGAGGAGCGGGTGCTGGTCCCGGCAGCGCCGCCCCGTCCGGCCGCGGCGGCGGCGGGAGGCAGGGAAGGAAAGAGGGAGGGAAGGAGGGGGGAAGCGGGGCGTCGTGCGCGGGGCTCCGTCCTTCCCCGGCTCGGTTGGGGCGCGGTGGCAGTGACAGCGCCGTGCGAGGACGTGCCCGCGTCCCGACCGCGCTTATCCGCAACTTTGCGTGCGGCGCGGCGGGAGGCTCGGGGTAACGAGCGCCGTCTTTTCCATCCCAAGTCCCGTCTCGCAGGGCTGCTGCCACGCGAAGGAGGGAGGTGCTTTGTTTTGAAATCCGCGTTAAGATCATCGAAACCTGAAATTGTTGCTGCAACTACACCCCTTCTGCAAAGCGTGCGCTCCGCTGTGGCGGTCCAAAAGCACAACTTCCTCTTTTCTATGTGTGTGTGGTGGTTTCCCCCCCCCCTCCCCCCCGTCTCTCATGTAATCCATTCAGAAATCGTGGCACAGAACAGGCGGAGGGAACAAGGAATCGCTTTGTTTTTAAGCGTTGCACGAAGCAATCCGTGCTTTGTGATCTGAAAGCCAAATATCTGCAGAGCGCCGAGCAGTCGCCCAAAATTTAAGAGCTGTTTCTGCAAACGCAGAAGGGAGGAATGCAAACTCTTAATTAATAAAGTTAACAGCAGGGAGCACAGCTACATGCAGCTGCAGTGAGCATATAACCCCGGGGTCACATCCTGGGGAGCAGTTTTTAAGGCTCTTCTGATCTAAATCTAAGCAAAAATCAGTGGCAGAGGAAACTTGATACAAATGACGTCTTTGCACAACTTTATCTGGTTTCTGTAATCAGAAGGCTCATCCTTGGATGAATGAAAATTGCACGGCATTGGGTTGTGTAACTCGTCGCTAAACCTTGAAGGACATTAGGAACGTGCCAGGAGAGCTCAGTTTGTGGCCCTGGTGATGGCTGTGAAGATAACCTGCAGTGTGACGGGATGCACAGTCATCTTCCTGCGCGTGCAAACAGGGCACTGCTGCTGTGCTGTTGCACGGAGCTCTGCTCGTGGGGAGCCGCAAAGTTGACAGAACTCAGTGGTTTTAGTGCAGGTCTGTGGGAAGCAGAGAGATGTCGAGAGCAATGCCAGTGTCATGTTGCTGCACGCCAGGAACAGCGGAGGCAAATGCACTTAAGTTAATTAGTAGGAAGGAGAACCTAAAATGGTAGAAACTGGGGGGAAAAGAAGTGTGTTCTCTATTGCAGCAGTGATATCGATGGAGAAAGTGAACAGCGATGTTCCCAAATACTGCCGAGTAGTGAGGAATTAGTGTTTTTTTCACAGTCATAAGGATCTTAGAAACCTGAATCTGATGTGGGAAAAGCACTCATGAAAAGAGATTAGCAGTGCCCTATTTTTATTTTTTTAACCACTTCTTTAGCAGATTGTGCAGGTGAACAGCTTTCCATTTCCCTTTAGGCGTCAGTGAAACAGTTCCATGTTGTTTCCCATTCCTTTGGCTTTTTCTGTCAAGCCTGTATAGGGCGTACGCATCTGTTCTCTGTTATTTGTTTTGTGATGAGAGAAAGCTGTGGTCTGTGTGGTAAAATCAGGAGCATTAAGCGAATCTGTTAATCTTTGGAATGGAAAACATTGCCTCTGAGGTGTAGGAAGCTTTCTCCTTTACTTAGGAAATCCCTTTTCCCCTGCACACGTAAGAAACATAAGGAATCTAGGGTGGAAGCAAAGGGAGGCTTGCTTTGGGTTATCAGCAAGTTAACTGGATCAAATATTCTGTTATCTCTAGCATCTGCTTCCAGTTAGGTTTCTGCTGATAAGGTGAGGGTTTTATTGGAGGGGCTGGGGTGCTCTGTACAACTTGCTTCTGAGCCTTTCTTCAGGTGTCATTTCTTCCAGAAATGGCCCACTTGTATAGACAGCCTAGTGCAGTACAGAGGGCAGCATTTGCTTTTGATCTCCATTGCAATACAGCTCTCGTTTGAGGGAAAACAAGCTGGCATTTTGTTGTCACCATGCTGCCCTACGAACTTGTGGCCTGATTATCATTACTGGGATTACTGTTTTCTTTCATGCTGAATACCTCTTTCAAATAGCATTGCCATTCTATTTCCCATGCTTTGTTTACTCCCCATGCTTGAGCTGGTCCAGAGACTGTGAAAAACATGTGTAATTTGTGTCAGCTCCTAGGTTGGGAGCTGATGCGTGGAGTCAGTCAGCATGCACTGGGAGCTATTCTTGGCTATTGGCAAAGCCTTCAGCACTTCAGAATTTTGTTATCAGACCAAGAACTTGAAACTTGGGCAGTGGTTCCAGTGTGCACTAGGGTGGACAGGTTTTCTGCCTAAAATTTAGTTCATGGGTTGGCTAGTCTGGCAGCTGGGTGAACCAAGAGCGTCATTTCTGTGCTATGCACTTCTGAGTGTGCAGTGAGGTGTGCTCATGAAAGTAAAGCTGTGCTTAACCCAGCTGTCCAGCTTCCTCCTTTCAGGTGCTGCCTTAAGTGCCACTATGGCTGCCCAACCAAGGCAACCAGACTTACAGAATACCAGAACGGGGACTGTTTCACCCCTTACCTGCTGCTTTGCATCCAGTGTGCAACCCCAACCTGCTGCTACGCTATGTCACGTACCCACTCGATCACACGTACTCATAGTAACCTCTATAAGCTGAGTGTGTATACATATGAGGCAGATGAGTCTACCGATACGGTTGCATCCTGCCACACACTGGTATTGCTACTGACTAAAGCAGGAGCAACCTTTGGTGCATCCGTAGTCTTCAGTGAGTGCTATCAAAACAGCGCCATTCGTTTTGTTTGCACAGCTCTCACAGCTGTCACATGTGAGAAACGTATCTGAATCATTAATCATATCCCATGGCATTAAGTCAAACTTTTGTCTTTCCTGAGAATTTTAACAGCTTTCTAAACAGTAGACTTGGAAACTCAGTCACCAGAGGAGTAAAAGAGCTGGCTGAAACTGGAATGCGGAAACTCTTGTGCCTGGGCACAAGACATCTTCACGTGTGCTGTGCAGCACCAGCGTGATCTTGTCAGCCAGGTTTGCCTCCTGCTTCCAGGCATGTTGTGTCCTACTGTCCTGCCAGCTCTGGTGCTGAACAGCACTGCAGCAAGCTTGTGCACATCTTTACCTCTTCCAACCTAGCACCACTGTTCAGTTCAAACCACCCTGTGTCACCAGGACAGCCGTTTTTTATCATACTTCACATAATTGTGAAGCTATGGGGAAGCGTGGTTTGTATACACAATAGCGGTCTACTTTCTCATCACTGATACCATCAGCTGCTGTTAGTGGACTGTGGTGATTGGCAATAAACTTGCAAAAATAAGGGTAAGGCCAGTGCGATGGCACTTCAGAGGTAGACAGGTTGAGGGAAATTAGGATTTTACCTTGAGCACAGACATGTTTCCCTTGGCTCAAGCGCTCTACACTTGAATTCTTGAGCAGTTAGGGACTTTTTATTAATGGAAACATAAATTAACACGTTTAACTAAAATATGAAAGCTTCATTAAAATCCAGGGTGTGACTCAAGTAAATGTGGAAGGTGTATAGAGCTGATCAAACACTGAAGTTTGTGTTAATGTATTGATTTCATTGGGAGAGAGCAAGGCTATAGGTTTGCACTGTAGTTTGCTGATCTGATTGGTTGCTTTTTGGAGTAGGAGTTCTGTCACCTACAGTGCAGTCCTGCTTTTTCCTTTGTGCTTACTGTGAAGCACTCATGGCGAGCTGATTCAGAGAGGAAAACTGTCAAAATAGTGTAGCATTTTAGTTCTCCGAACCTGCCCACAATCAATTTTTATATTGCACTTTAGTCTTGTTATTTTTGAGGAAGAACATGAGCATGAGGAGAGAATGCAAATAGCAACTGATTTTACAGTATAAAATCAGGTTGGGAGAAAGGTGTGTACATGTAGAAACAGCATGTTAAGAGTGGAGCAACAAGAGTGACGAAAGAAAGGTAGGTAGCAGTGAATGAGGGAGCCTTAGACAAGTGTTCATAAGGGGGAAAAATTAGGTAAGGAGAATGATGATGTGCTTATAAAGTAGATAATCTCAGTTAACGTATCGCTCTGTAAGCTATGAGTGGATGTGGCCTTCCCAGGTAATTCATCTGACTGCTGCTCACCTGCTGGTGGCTCTTCTTGCTGGGCAGCCGGACAGCAAGTTGCACAGTAGATGTGTTGTTCTCAAGTGGTGGCAGACACCATCATCTCCAAACTGCTGCCGTTCTGGACACTCTCACCCCATCCTGTAATCTTATGGGAGGTGAGCACATGATTGCAGATCTGTTTAGGAAACATTTCCCACCCTCTTAAACATTCTTTTCCCAACCACCTTCTTTTGTTTATAATCTTTGACAACTTCCAGACTTTGGGAAAACATCTGGTTCCAATTCACTGTGAATATTATTGGATTGATACATTGGATTGATTTTGAGATGCTGGAAAATGTCAAGATATTAATGTTAAAAACTTATATTTTCTTCATTCACAAGCCTTTAGATCCTATGAAATGAGAAATATTCTGTTTCCATTTGATCGGAATATATTTCAAAATTCTGTCAGCATAGGAGGGCCATTGGATTTTAGCACTTTCTAGACTGAGAGATGCATCTCTGCATGTCCAGGGACTTGAACAGCCTTTCCATGTTTAGATACTTGGCCATTTGGAATCAACCTTTTCAAGAAGGTTTATATGGTACCAAGTCAAGAAGATGTGAAATTGAGTATATTGGACTTTGCTGCTGCTTAGGAAATTGCAGAAAGTGGTAAGTATTAGAAATTCAATGGAAGGAGTACAGGCTGACAGACACCTTGGGCAAAGTTGCAAGTGTAACAGAGAGACGCTGAGTGGGAAGGCTCAAAGTTTATCAGGCTGTAGGCCAAAGAAGCTAAAAGCAGTTCCCCTTTTGGTTTTGAAGTGTCTGGCATTCGTGTAAGAATCAACGCTCTGTTCCA